TATGCTTTTCAAAAACAATTACATCAATCAAAATGAAGTAGAGCTTTCTGAACAAATGGTTTTTGCAATTGTTGACCGAGAGTGCCTCCAAAAGATAAGTATATCAAAAGATAAACGTTGTTTGAACTTTTTAAAACACCTGTAACAGATTGAACATAATTCAATACATAACATTCAATAAAACGTCACAAAGAATGAATGACTTTCTGTGAAATAAGGTACGATTCATTATTTACACAATGATCTTGAAACCGAAGTTGTTTGGTCGATGCGATGTTCATTTTATTTAAACCACAATCGCATTGTTTTTGTATTTCTTAAACATTATCTTATGTTTGACCACTCACCTTGCTGCAATTAGTAGACTACTTTCATATACTGTGGTATAACATAAAGTATTACCATCTAAAACATGAAATTGTTAAGAAATAGAAGAAAGGTTTTTAATAATAAACGCTAAATAGAATACATTTAAGGCTGTATTAATTTTTGGACAACATATATAGACACAAAATCTTCATTTGATTGGATAAACATAAAATTATAAAGAGATTGAAGAAAATGGTTTTACATATCGGTTTAAATGATGAAAAGAGTACATGTAAGTCAATGTTAATTTTTATGGACACCACATATAGAAACAAAATCCTTATTTGATTGGATTAACGTTTTCACAATGTCACCGTATAAATCACACAAAATGTTACGTCATTAAGTAGCATTAAGGATACTTAATTGCAGCAAATCTTTTAATGTTAGCTTATTATTTTTTCTCTTTGTTGTAAAACTGTAGGTCTGTGATATTTCCGTTTCTCGATAAATTCTTTCAAAGATAATATCTTAAATGCATCTATTATAGAAAGACAATATACGGCTAACTTATTCTGATTTGTTTTTGTTATGAAACAATAGGTCTATGTCATTTCCGTTACTGGATAACTTTTTGATATGTTCAATTTAACCATCATAGAATATTTGGAATGTATTTGTCATTTTACATTTTTTGTATATTCTATTCTTACAAGAAGACTCAAGTAGGACAAAAGCTTATGTGTAGATATGAAAAAAAAAGATACAAAGGTTTACATTTTTAAGTATGATTGTAGTGCAATTGCGCTTGATTTACCACAATTTTATATATACTTGTCAACGATGTCTATGTAGAACCGTTTCAATGTTTTAATGCAGTATGCTACTATTTTTCACCTCTACTTTGAATAGTACTTCAATAGGTTGTCAGACTTAATGTGCTTTTGAGCCGGTGCTAGGGTCAAGGACGGTATCTTGCACCTCCCAGTACCGTCAACGAACTGGAGCCTGCAACATTTTCAATTTTGCCGTGTTGAGATTTTTTTAGGGATTATGTTTATACTTTATTATGATGTCAATTGTAGTCGTTGACCCAAACACGAGTAATGACATCTCTTTTCATTTCCTCTAAATATTATTTTTGTCTCAGATCCGTTTTAGAAAGAAAGAAAGTGTTAAATTTTAGTTATATAACTGTAATTATTATTGCTGTATATTGGCTAAATAATGCTAAATTTAGTAACATGATATCCGTCTTTTTTTCAAAGTAATTAAGTCTCATGAAATTAATACGAGTTGGTAAAAATTGTTTATATTTGACAAGATCAACAAACTTCCAAAAAAAGGCCATTTTTGAATTCAGAATATTGTTCAATAAGTATTTAAAATGGGTAAGATTTTGATACATACATGTACAAGATATTTCAAACATCTTAAGTGGGGAAACAAAATTTGCAATGATTAATAGGAAAACATGTTGCACAAGAATGACATTGCATATTATTAAGAGTTAATATAAGCCAATTTAACGTTCAAGTATTTTGCTCAAAAGATATCCACAAGTCCAAAACCATTCGGTAATTTTTATTCAAATTTTGCATACAGCTGGCCTGGTGTCCTTTGTATAATGCGAAAAATTTTAGTACCTATAAGTGCTTTTAAGGGATACACTACTTTAATGTTAAATTACATTGCACAAACATTTATAAAGCCAGCATTTTATTTTTATCATTAATTCCTAATGCATTTTCACTTTACATTATTACAATCTTATCAAAAGCAGCCGCATAATTCTTGGTATTAAGACAACAACAGAATAAGGCCATTTTGTCGCTTTCTCAGAAAGACGAAAACAGATTTGCAGTTATCGTTTTCTTGAATTGGATAGGACATCGAAATAATAGGAAATTATCTATTAAAATAACAAAATTCAGTCATGTGATAATGATATACATTTTCTTCAAATTACTGAACATATATTGTAATGATATATTGGTATGATAAAATGGCTTTCTTTTCCTTTTTTCATAAAGAAGAGGAAAAAACCTTTGCAGAAAATACATATATTATATTAGGTATAATCTACCTTGATTAAAAGGATTTTTCAATTTATAGCTACTACTTAACGTAATCAAAATATATTCTAACATGTAACGTATCTTTCCAATGCGGCCGGGAGGTTGCCTTTTAGTGTTGAGGCATCAGAATTGCAGCCACCGTTTATCCCTGCGAGATCTTCATGGGTTTAAAATAGCTGGCGTCTATGCACCTATTAGCTCCAGCAGGTGAGGTGGTTTTGACGCCTGGTATTGCTTTAAGTTTGTAACACCCGAGGTTAGCTTAATTATCTTTCTTGTTTCGGCCCCATATGTCCTTAATCGATTTTCTGCGCCGTAAAGTCAAACAAAACAAACATTATCAGTTACGATGTATTGTCATATGATTTTTACACTTTGTACCAAATTTAAGTTGATATAAAAAATAATACGAACATTTTTGGTCGGTACCACCTAAAACAACTTTTCAATACAAAGCCTTTATATGATACATGTTGTCTTCACGGCAAGACGACATTTACATCCTCTAGAAATAGTGACGTTGTCCTTCCGTTGAAAAAAATGTAAAAATGTTTTTGTTGAATAATCGTCATGTTTGGCTACTACATACAAAAATATCAGAGATTTTTATTGGATTTGTTTTCATTGTTTTATATTAAAGAGTAAATTTAGCAGATAAAACGTAAATAAGACCATTTTTACAAAGTTACGCCGAGTTCGTGGATTAAGCACTGAAGCAACGGCGGTTATCTCATTAAAAGTAGCTAAATCTTATTTTACCAGCTTCCTTCTATTATTATACGACACTTGTAGTTTGACAAATGTCTTATGTATACAGAATATGAAAAAAAAATGTTTTAAATGTGTTAAATGTACATATTTATTTGACGAAAACACAAAAGCCACCTTCAAAACGGTGATCAGGTTGTCTTTCTCACGAATGATCTGATAAGTAAACATGTTCCTGATAAAAATTGTAATGCTGGTTAAAGTATAATGTCGTAGCAGCCGTATGCGCTAATTTATTTCAGAATAAAATATTTTGGTTCGTTTACTTACCTTGTTATTCGTTTTGGCAAAAGCGTTGCACAAAAAAATCGGTGTTGATTTTAGATAATTGCACATTCCAGCGTTACTGGATATGCACGGTGTATTTGTTTGCCACAAGTTACCAATACAAAAATACCTCAAAAATGAACACAATATTAGGTATGTATTATTCATTTAACTTTAATTAAATGACAATTCAGGTATCTATAAGATGATATAGCCAATAGGTTCTTTATAAAATGCATTGTTCATAATTTGTTTATTTGTTTGACTGGGGTTTACGTCGCACCGACACAGTATAGGTAATATGGCGACTTTCTAGCTTTTTACTGTTCAAGGAAGATCTCAGGCGCTCTGTAATTAGTTTGTGGTATATAGCTCGTCATTATCATAACTTGGTGATATCTAAATATTTATTTGAAAATCGTATAAATATATATGGGGAGCATTATACAGTTTTCAAGGCTTTCCGGCAAACAAGTGACCGTGCCACAATTAAAAGTTAACACAGGAATCTGTAAATACACACCTGAAGTAAATGCATTTCATAATTAACAGACACATATAAAGCTCACAGTAAACAATTATCAATACCTGTCCAAATTTGATTTTTCTTGCATAATTATACCTATTTAAATAATGTGAAAATCTTATCACCTCCAACTATTAGAAACACTTACTACATTGTTTCTTCCTTCTTAAAAATGCACAATCTAAAAATAAAATGCAAAGTTATGCACCTCCTTTTTCACTATTTGAAGTCTTTTGCATACCTTTTAAATTGAAGAGCTGATTTCCGAGCTAGATTACGACATTTGGAACTGCCTATAATAACCATGAAAATAGTCCTACCATGTGGTTTACGATGTAAAAAGAAACAGAGATAATGTAAAACGAATGTATAGATTTGACATCCAAAAGAAAAGAAAAATCAGTTTCGGTACACTTCTGATTGAAAATATGTCTGACAACAATTTGTAATTTACATATGCCCACCGATGTACAATTTTAAACAAATTAGACTAAATGTCAACAGGTTGGTTTTTTGGTACTTTCGGTTTCTACAACCATAATAATGAATATAGAAATAATGTATTGTTTGCTTTTGTAGCTATGAATTAACTTATTTTAGGTGGACTTTTACAACAAATATTTGAAATAAACTTGTAAACAACTTTCAGCATTAAATTACTATTTGTTTACATCATTGGTTAGACCGAAATACCGCATCCGATCTGTGTACTCATACTATTGTGTTCGAGGTCCTTATCCGAAGACTGACGGAAAGGGCCGAGTAGTTGCGATTGAGCTTACGGATCATATATTTAAATCTTACAGACACTCCCCAAAATGTATGGGTCAAACACCACTATAATTATTTATACCTAACGGAAGCACAATACTATCTGCTTTTAATATAACAACTTTGAATATAAGGAAGCTCAAATATCTACTTTAATTGTCTCTTATTTGTATAGCTGACCCCTGGCCAATTTGAAACTACCGCACCAAAACTGTTTAGTGCCTCCCATAGTTACGCCGTTACTACAAACAGGTAGTATTTTAAGTACTTCAGGATTCGGAAAATGCAGACTTTATTGCACATAACGAGAAAGGCTTGGAGATATTATTCAGCTAACAATTGAATTCAAATGTGAGTTTTTATATTTCTTAAATATTGTAACAAATTTTGAATATTATTACTACTATGTGTAAATAACTCATCGATACATGCGTAGACCTGGTAAAAATTAATATTATGGCAAGATCATTAATTTTATACAGGACACTGTAAATTTTAAAATTTTATCACAAACGCTGTGAAAAGCTTTAAAACAATTACAAAAAGTGCTAATGTTTCAGTATGCCTTTAAAAAAAAGATAATTCTATAAATGGCCTTAAGAATGAAATGGCGTATTATTTTACTTTCTTGTTTTACGTCGAGATTAAACCGACATGTTTTATGTTAATCACGGGGTTTGCCTTTGTTTAAGAAATAGATCTTGTTTTTGATTGCGTCGTTGTATAAAAGTATAAAATTGCAACGACGAACTCCTGACAAGTTATCATAAGAACTCAATCCCTCGTGTAACAAACAGTTCCTCCCCCGTGGATGATATCGTTTTGTGTAACATTTTGTTTCTGTACTACAAGCACACCCTGTTCGATTTTAAACGCCCGTTCACACTTGGCTGATTCAACGGTAATAACGTCATTTAGCAAAACCAGAGAGTAGGCAAATGGTGTATGGTTACGCTGAAACTCTATCTTATGTAATCAATACCAGGTATGGTGTATTATTCCATGTCTGAATGTAATTTCTACCTTCATGAAAATTACTGAAATATCTATACATTCATTATTTAAATTTCTCCTTGCTGGATTAAAAAATTTAGTCTACAAATTTATTCAAATGTAAGCAAAAAACATACTCCGTAAAAAGTCTGCAGTCGGGTTGGCTCTTCCCTATACCTGGAGGGCCGGTGTCCCTCCTTTATCTGGGGAAAGCAGCAGAAGGATCAGTACTGACATACTTTTGATTTTGTTCTTCAATTAAATGTTTAACTTGATGTCGTTTCAAACATAATTGCTTGAATTTAACACAAATAACATCTTTAAAAACCCAAATATCATTATTTGAAAACTCTAAATATCTTTACAATGAAATCTTTACTAACTGACCAGATTTAAATGAATAAATAGTAAATACTGAGCCACACTGGTTAAGATTAAACACATGTTATCGATTTGAATTGATATATAGCTAGTGGGAGACTGGGAAAAATTAATACCTATCTTTATAATTTGTATATAAATTTTGGGTATTTTTATTCTGTAATAAAAATCGTTGTATGATGTATCAAGAACGAACTATCTATGGCTGGAAAGGTCTTGCATGTTTTGATTGACATAAGACAACATCAGGTATACTAAAGCGAAGACCATTCAATACATATCATTATGTAGATGTAAAATGTAAGTCTCATTCCTTTAATTATCAAAATTTAATACAAATAACTGTAACACTGTAAATATCATAAGTCTCATCATATGTATATAAAATATAGAGCATCAATAATTCCCAGTATCTATGAAACATATAGGAATCTCATTAACATTTGTACTTGGACTGAATTCCAAATCAATCAAGAAAACTATAATTTATAGTGAAATAATAAATGATTTTCTCAACTAGCCACTATTTTCTGATAATTGGTCTGTGTCTAATTTAAAAAATAGAAATAATAAAATTTCAACCTCTTATACCATGACTTTATGGACATTGTCAAGTGTATTCCCCCTGCCTTCTAAGAATATTTGACACAAAACCTCCCCATTGACCTGACAGAAGTTCATTTCTATAATTATGCCCGTCCAAGCGAAAGCATGATGTATTTTATTAAAGGTTTTATAAAGAAAAAGATACTACTTTTAGATACTGGTATACACGTATTATTCAAACAGATATGATAAGCATGTTAATATGAAATGATACTCATTTTCCAAAAAATGAAATATGTTAACCAAAATGATTTCAAAGCAACAACTTTTAAAGCAATTAATTTTATTTATGATATATTTCAGCTAGGTAACAATATGTCACGACAGTTTAATTTTATGTGTTAAATAAATATAATTCAAATTTTATAGTTCATTTTTTGCGACCAAAATTCCATTTATAAGTTTGATAATGTTGGTATGTCACTCAAATCATATCTTCAACATACGGTCCGGTTATCTGTGAATCGATCGACCCGAGTTCAATACAGGAGGATGGGGGCAATTTGATATGACATTGTCTGTTACGCTGTCCCGCTTTAATATATAGGATGTCTTTATACTGAAAAAAAAACGTGGAAGGTGGGACACACTTTGATTTAATCAGATGAGCAATATCTTGAATGTAAATCATAAGGGAATTCAGCCGGGCATTGGATTTGTATGGAGAGATGCTTATTTTATCCTCAGGCTTAAGATAGTTAATCTTAGTATAAGATCTAATGTTCATTTTTCTCATTCAGAAATCAGGAAAAATAGGTAGTTTGTAGAAAGTATAGAAATAGGGTATGTAAGTCTCGTCATGTGACTTGCGAGATTTCACGATATTTCGCACTTCCGGGTACAAACAAATATCAACAACATTGCTTATCTATATTGGGTAATACTCGTATGCCAGTGGGAAAGTAAAACTTACATGGAAAAGCAAATGATATGTGGAAATTGGCAGAGTTTTTTGTTTTGTAACGAAATGCAAATGGTTTCATCTTGTGAACAAGTATCAATGAAAGACAACTTCGTATAATCTTCAGGTGGGTGTGTCATTTCAAATTCAGTTTATCCCAATAAATGTTGTCATATTTTCATTTCCATGTAAACCTAATAAATTTGTTATTTGATACAACATCATTCGCATCTGACACCAGACTGGTGAATTTGATTTTATCAATTTTCTATAGCGCTACCTGATTATCTCTCAGAAGTATATAATGTTTAGAAATTTCGGACAGCGCATATTTCGGATAAACGTTTCAATATGATTATCAGTGTGTTTTAGTTGAATATATTTTCTTCCAACTGAAAATATTATTTATTTATAATTATTATCTTTATAAAGCACAAACAGTCAAGCTGTATATAACCAATTTAAATTGTCATAAAATTCAATGAAATATTTTGCTCCTGTAGATATTTTGACTGAGGACAGTGGTGAGATGAAAGACGTCAGTATCCATTGTAAATACACATGCATGCTCTGCTGTAAAATCGTTTTGGTAAGAAATATATACTTAAAGCTACTTAAACTACATTAATGAAAAATAAATATTATTGTATAACATATAATGTTCTCGTTTTTGTAAATAATTACAGTGTAGCTAAATAAACAAACAGTATGGCATATGTAGTTAATTCATGTTAAATACTGTTTAAAGTATTTTTCTCAAGTAAGTGGGTCATATTTTTTAGTTAAATCATGTTCAGTAAATGGTAGAACTTAGTCACTATCACATTTTTTAAAGATCAGTTGTCAAAGCAAATCTACAAAAACTAGGACACCAAGAAGTGTTTCTTCCTTTTCAACATTATTTTCTATTCATGACAATATGATAATGATTGAAATTTATAGCTGACCAATTATTATTGCTTTCAACTCATGATTAATTTTCTTTATATACAGGTATGTGATTTCATGGTTGGATCTTGAGTACTTGTCATGGCTCTTGATTTATTTTGGAGTGTTCACCATCAGATTAGAAATCAAATAGTGATACCACTAGGCATTGTTGAAAGGAAATGTCCATACACAGTCTTGGAGTACATAGTGGTAGAGACATGGCAGTCCATTACAGATTTTGACTAAATTAAAGCTTCTTAAAGCTCCATGTCTTGTGTAAACTGTCTGACTGAATGTTTGTATTCTAATAAAAACTAAGGTTGAAGACACTTCAAAGACATATGTCAGTGTAAAAATGTTAAACAAATATCTGTCTTTGTTAGAAATAAATAACCTGTCTTTATTAGAAATAAATAACCTCTCATTTGTAACTTTGTATTAACTTAATTATTCAAAGATAATTTATCTTCTGCAAATGGCTGCCCAAAACAGTTTCAACCAGGCATCATGTAGTTTCAAAACAGTTAAGATAAATTTGTTATAAATAGACTTGTAAATTAACAAGAATGGTAAAAAGATAAATGTTCAGCATTAAAATGTTTCTATCTTGATTGAGTTTCATTTCATATTATCACCATGATCACTGCAATAAAAGTAATGTAATCTTTAACCATTATTTAAATATCATAAAAATCATCTCAAAGAAAAACTTGTTTCTGAGGCAAGATGTGTAAAATTCCTTCCAGTTATAGCCTTTCACTGCTCTTAGAGAAGCCATGATTTGCATTGTACATGGCATGTAGTAATACCAGAGTAAACAATATTAATGCAATTCATCTGTGTTGAGTATTCTGTAGCAAACACTAGCTTGCTAGCCCTTGTAAGCCCAAGTCTCTCTCTTAATTGGAGAAGACTTGCAATTCTGAATTCTATGAAGATTTTAGTATCAGAGGGGTAGTTATTACATACCATATACTTCTTTGGGTTTCAAATTACCTGTTTTATAATGTATTGAACCTGTTGACATTTGACCAAAAGTGAATTATCTATACAGAACATGCAAAACTTAGGGTTTGCAATTGATACAAAACAATTACATCACTGATACATTAATATACCAATTGGAACTGTTTCAAAATTGTCAATGTTTCAAAAAATAAAAAACAACAACACACAATGCTTTTAACTTTTGTCCATGTACATTTTTGTAAATGTAGTCATTGAAGAGCTGTCAAGAACTTTTCATCAATATTATTTAGATAGTGTCTGTTTCGATTTCAGGACAGACAAAATTCAAATGACATGCATAGTATTTAATATAGTCAATGCTTGCATATTCAAGCAATCTAGCCATTGCTGTTAGAGAATTAAAGTACACTGTGACACTTATTTTGCAGATGAACTCTTATGATCAAGCACTGCTATAAATATATGCCAAATAGTAGAAACAAAAAACAGTTCATAAGTTTTATAAACTTTTATTTTTACACAATTTATAGTGCACTGCTTAGCATATATATATCACACTGATTTTCCAGTGGAAGAAAAACTTCAGGAAAGCACTTGGAATTATTATTAGTTATTTGGACAATGTAACTTTACACTGTGAATGTCTACTGATACAAGAATAAGAGTATTTCCTTTTACAAATGTAAAGACTTTGAAAATTAACATGAACAAATTATCATAGAGTTAAAAATCATATTCTTATTGAAAAATGTTCAGCTTGATATCAAAGCTTTGATTGCAAATTTGTGAGCTTATCAATGATTACCTCACAATATTAGTAGTAGATGATATATAATATTTTTGCTAATCTTTACTTCATAGTCATTTAATGTCCATAATGTCATATGACTCTACTGTGATTCCATGAAAAAACCTTATCCCTGGTGTGTTATCAGCTTTGGTATATATAGAGTATCTAGTTTTAATACTTAAAACTGCAGTGAAATGTGGATATTTTACTCTGTTTCTATCATTGTGACATTAACATGTTAACAAGATCATAGTGTCAAACACCATAAAATCATACCCTTTATACATTAAGATTTTTGTGCTGGATGTCATTCATCTTCTTCAGGAAAGTACATTTGACTATTTTCAGTGGCTTATATTAAACTAATATTTCACTGTAACTGTGTGTTCTCTGATATCATTCTCAAATTAAGGAACTGGAAGATGGTAGTTGCAATAAAGGTCTTCATGGACAAATCCTCCTTCATCTTTTCCCTTTTTATCTGCAGAATGAAAAATCAATAAATATGTTGTTACAAGTGTAAGACACTAGAAATGATATTTACATTACATTTAATAAGCTGGTCATGATTGACAGAAAAATTTCATATTTGAAGTAAATAAACATTAAAGATAAACAACAACACATAATATATAACAGTCAAAAATATTGATCTTCTTGAATGTGAAACATGACTATTTTTAATGTTTTATTTACTTATCAATTATCATGCAGTGAAATCCAAAAGTTATTAAATTATAATAATATATTTTGATAATTGTTTATCTTTCCGATCTCAACTAAAAATTAATCAATTATTTTACATGTATTTACCTTTGATGTATAGATATTTCAGGATCATAGGCAGTGCAAACAGTTGATTAATGGTCCATATTGAACAACTGTATATTCTATACTTGTCATAGACCTCCTTGTCTATACATCTGAAATGGTTTAATCAAATATTATATTTTTCAATTCAATCATTATTTGCTAGGTATCATATTAACATGTATATATAATTGAAAAAGGAACAAGAATAAAATGGAAAGGAAAAAATATCTGAATTACTGTGCAATGTCCGAATTTTGTATAACTTTAATATACACTAGAATTAAAGTGTTTCTCCATTGTTTATTTCAATAAGTTAAAATGGTTTGAATTAATTTCTCACATCAGAAGTTTTAAAACAATACTAAAAGCTAAACAACTAGAATTCACTACCTTGACAAAACATCCGAAACAATTGTCACTATCCGAAAATAAACTAGTTTTATTAAACTCTATAAATCCCTCGTTTTTCCGTCAGATAATTGACCTACCTGCATTTTTTGACCCGCGCTATCCATTCCTTCAAATCTGAAGAGGACCGAAACAAATTTAACTTCTATATCCCTCGAGTTCTTCGGGTTACCTATATGCGTAACGGTAAATAAGTCTGCCGATGTACCCGGAAGTGGTAAATCGAAAGTGAAAGTAAACGAGACTTACGGGCCCTATTAGTGGTCAGTTATTCAGGAAAATTGAATAAATTGACTGACCGACTTTGAATAAAAAACACTGCCACTACCTTGCTTAATTAAATAAATTCGTGAATTCCAAAAAGCCTTGCCAGTAGTTTGAAATCCTCTTAGTTAAAATCAATCGATAATTAGTTTAAAGTAAAAAAAATGATTGAATTCAACATTATTTAAAAATAGTTAAAACAAATTTTCAATGCATTACAAACTTCTTTGTGTGATTTGGAATAAATTTTAAAGGTTGTTTTAATATTTTGAATGATTTAAATTCATTTGATACAGGAAAACTATTGAATAAATGCAATTGTATAGATATTTAAATTCCTTCACAAAGGCTACTCTACATTCAAAAGAGATCATGTTACTATTTATGTATTTATGCTTGGATAGTTAGTAAAAACTATGATAGACAACAAAAATGAACAGTTTGGTAAACACTAATTATTTTCCCTTAAAATAGAAAACACTGAAACCCAATAGCAGAATTATAAAATGTTACAGGCTCAGTTTGATTAAACCATGGGAGGTTGTGATTATACCTGTTATTCAAAAGTTGATGTTGTTTAAATTCTGAAATAAATCCTGGCATGTTTTATATATTATTTACTTTTAATAAGTATGTATGTTATTTTCACGATTGCTTTAATATCTGCATATTTATGACTTTGCCCATGGATGCTTTAAATTGATAGTTATGTTACTTGTATTGTCGAGTTGTATGGTTGAGCTGTCTGTATGTCAGTGTTTTAAATTAAATCACTTTACATAGGGCGATTGACATCTTCTTGTCAAAAGTACAAGGCCCAGAGCTGTGATATTTGGTATATGATATCTTAAGCTATGTTCTCACCGCCGATCAGATCAACTCGATCGTCCCGATCACATTAATTCCCCGATTAAGCCCGACCAAGCTGGATTAAATGCAAATTCACGGCTACTACACGACCTCTCGTCGACCATGTTTACGACTTCTTTTCGACGACAACCCAACCAACATCCCGACTTCTTCTCGATCACCCAAACCTATACGCGAGTCATACACGATCTCAACAAAACTAGTTGGACCTCTGCTCGGTCGATGCCAGATTTCCTTCTGACCAGATCGGATAATGCTCGAGTAGAAGTCGAGATGATCGTGTACAGATCGGGTAAGAGATGTATACCCGATGTATAACCGACCAAACTAGACCGTTTCACGATTTATTCTCGATCAACTAAATCTTCTACTCGATCACTATACGATCGCTTCTCGACGTCTTATCTACTCGATCGCTACTCGAATTTTTTGACATGTCAAAAAAATTCGGGTAGGAAGCCCGAGCCATGCCGACCATGGTAGACCGCCTCGACCACCCCGATCACGCATGCAGACCGAGCTAGACCGGTACCCGATCGCTTGATCATGCTTGTTCGAGTTAATCTGATCGGCGGTGAGAACACAGCATTAAGGTCCTCTCCCTTACTTGTTCAATATTTGCCCAGTGTTCAATTTAGCCCCGTACCGCTGGGTCATAGGCTTGTCTTATATGTATTTAGTAATAACTTAAAAAATCTTCTTTTTTAAACTGAAAAGGCTAAGATATTTGGCATGAAACATTGTGTAGTCATCCTCTACCAAGATCGTTCAAATTATAGTCCGGGGTCAAAATTTCTCCCACCCTAGGGGCATTGTTTTTCATTATGTAAATATAGGAAAAACTTAAAAGATTTTCTTGTTTGAAGATACAAAGCTTAGTGCATTTTTATCCCCCGCCGAAAAGGCGGCGGGGGATATAGAAATAGTCTCCGTCCGTCCGTCCTTCCGTCCGTCCTTCCGTCCGACATTTTTGTCCGGAGCATATCTCTGAAAGTATTTGAGTTATCAACTTGAAACTTCATAGGTGGATAGACCTCATTGAGGAGGAGTGCAGTGCACAAGAACGATAACTTTACCCTGCATAATTGTTTAGTTATTGCCCTTTGTTATTTTTCAAAATTGATTTTTGTCCACAGCATAACTCAAAAGGCCTTTGATATATCATTATGAAACTTCATAGGTGCATAGATCTCACTCAGGAGGTGTGCAGTGCACAAGAATGATAACTCTACCTTTTATAATTTTTGAGTTATTGTCC